AACGTTGAGCACTTTTCACCGCGGCTCCAACGATAGTGACGAAATTATCTATTAAAATTGATCGCATGACTTGAAAATAAACAAATGCTTGACATAGCAAAATCAACGAAACGGCGTACATATCCTTTTGCGACGCATAAACTTGAAAAGAAATTGCCGAAGTAAAATAAACAACTCTCAAATGGTTTTATTACTCTGCGACGAAACACTTTTGGGTACTTTGAAAGATACGAACTAACAGTACGGAAAAATTCTTCGTTTCATTTTTTAAAAATATATAAGGAGTTTTTAATATATTTTTTTATACGAGGAGGTTTCAATATACTCAAAAGAATCAATGAAATTGAAAATGCTACAGTATCCGCCTAATTTTGTCAATCTATTGGTTAAAATTTTTGTTTGGAGTTTATACATTACATTGAGGAGTGTTATAGGACGGTAGTTATTTTATATCTGCTTTATCCCCTTTCTTGTGTAGGATAATGGTTATGGATTCCTTCCAGTTGTTTGGGATTCTTTTTTCTTTTAATATCTCAGCATCTCTGCAGTTATTCCACCTTTTCCAGGCGATTTGTTGTTTTTCATTTCTTTCAATGAAGGATATACTAAAGAATATACTGGTACGTCTATGGTAACCTTTAGCTTGCTTCTTGTTTCCTAAGCTGCAATGTCACACCATTTCTCGAAATCACCAAGTGATAAATTCGTAGTCTCAATTTTGTATACTTCATCCGGCTTTTTTTAATGACTGAATGTAAATCGTTAAAAACAAATTAAAAATAAAGGCGTAAAAAATTCCTCGTGCCCACACCCTTACGTCATAATTTATATTAACTATCTATAAACATTCAACTGCCATTATTCTTATTTACAGCCCGGACACTACGTTCAAATTTACAAGCCAAACTTCCAGCAGCTACGAATTATGAAAGTTGAACAATTCACCTCAGTAACAATCTTGCCAAAGGCAAGGTACAACAAGGTCACTGACCATCTGACTGCAATATTTTATCAAGTTTCTTTATAGTTCCTATAATGGGAATCGAGATTTTATTGAAATTCTCGATGTTTTATGGCTTTGCTGGAAACTAAACTGGTGTGACGTGAATTTTCGATAGCGGATTTTTGGAAAGAGTTGGGCTGTGTTTTATAATAACGCTTTTTGCCTAATTTTCTTTAAACTGTTTGGGCTGATTTCATTACGTGGTTCTAATTATGTAACAAATGTTGATCCATTCTCTTGTTTTTTTCCGACATTTTTTATTTATTTTATAAGATGTAGTTACGATTGGATGTACCTGCATTTGGGTCTCTAATCAAACACACCATTATTATACAAACGATCACAAACATCTGCTTACGTAATCGAATACAGACAAAGATAAATGAAAAATTAACACAGTGTATACTATTATAGCAGAAAGTTTATTTAGCGATAACACAGTTAAAGGATGGCAAAGCGCAAGCCCTAATATTATACAAGTAGAACTACTAAAACTATTGGACAACGAATTAACAGCAATAATCACAAAGATTTTCAACAACATATACAACTCTGAAGAAATACCAACATAATGACTGAAATCTGTTGGTACTAGAGAGGATAAGATACTGTGATTTATTTGTGAAACTGTTAAATCTGTCTTTCAATTCAGACATAACATTGCTTCTGTCATATGTCCGGTTCATTGACGACACTGGGGAAATGGCCGAGGAAATGCCGTTTGCTAGAAGTCTGATTACTGACACAAAAGGATCTTCCATATTTGAGGTCGTTATGTGAGATTTTTTGAGGAAAAAGAGATTCCCTTATCAAATATGATCGCCTATGCTACTGATAGTGCAGCAGCAATGACAGGACGCCATCGGGGATTTATTACACATCTGAAACAAACAGTACCTGGAATTTTGTATGTTCACTGCGTCATTCACAGAGAGCATTTGGCTGCCAAGAATTTGAGTCGGAGGTTGCACGATTCTCTTCGACTTGTCATAGATGCGGTAAATAAAATTAAAGCAAAACCAAAGAATGATCGAATATTTCGTACATTCTGTGAAGAAAATGATGAGATATTTAATACATTGCTACTACATACGGAAGTCCGCTGGCTTTCTAAAGGATAAAGGATACTATTATTGAATTTCGTAATACTACTGACCCCACACTGAATACAGAACTACAAGAGAGGGAAATGATATCGCTTACTTATCAGATATTTTTCAAAAATTAAATGAAATGAAAAGATTCTATGTAAATCAGACAAACAGTTCCTTGATAATCTAGTTGTACTTTTTAACAACATATATAATAGCGGTAAGATCCCGGAGAACTGGCTACAGTCAACATTTATTACAATCCCGAAGAAACCAAATGCCCATATTTGTGATGACTACCGGCTTATAAGCTTGATCAATCATGTCACTAAAGCGTTCACTAAGATCATTCATAGAAGAATATATGATAAATGTGAGTCAAATATTGATAGATCGCAGTTTGGTTTTCGGAAAGCACTTGGAACTAGAGAAGCAATTTTCGCTCTCCAGGTGCTTATACAGCGGCGTAGAGACGTTGATAAGGACGTGTATTTTGAACATGTATATCAAAAAGCATTTGATAATGTCAATCATAAACAATTGATAGGTATTCTGCGAAAGACAGGTATTAACGACAAGGACATTCGAGTTGTGGCAAACCTATACTGGGGTCAAACAGCAAGAGCAAAAATTGGCAACGAACTCACTGAAAGCGTGCAGATCAAAAGAGGTGTCGGTCAGGGGTGTATATTATCCCCACTTCTATTCAATATGTATTCCACGGAAATATTTAACAAATGTATGGAAAATGCAAATGAGGGCATAAAAATAAACGACGAGTTAACGAACAATATAAGATATCAATATAAGGTTGAATGTTCGAATAATTAAACTTTGACGGTATACAAGGCAAATATCGAACACGGTGATTAATTTAATCTTGCCCAAGTACTTTCGATCAAAAGATCATCTTCAGGGGCATCTGAAATAAGCCAAGAAACGTTTTTTATAAAAAAGGAAAGTTAATTCACTTGGATAAAAAACTCCAAGTTTATGGTTAAAAATTTTTATATATGATAAACGTTTATAGACTTACTTCGTCATTTGTGTATATACAATACAAAATACGATACATAAAGACAAACAAACACTTTAAAATTATTGAACAGGAGAAGCTACATGTTGTATAGAAGCCGGGGACATAATGGGCTCCCGGCTAATATAAGATATGCCGACGACACGGTGATCCTTGCCAGTACCATAGACGAATTACAACAAGTAATGGAAAGACTTTATTCAGTTAGTGAGGAATACGGCCTGAGCCTCAACTTTAAGAAGACAAAGTGGATGCTGATAAGCAAAAAGCAACAATCTACGCGACAATTACGGATAAGTAACTTACTAATTGACCATGTAGAATCTTATGTGTACCTTGGCGCTAACGTAAATGCAAAATGGGAACAGACCATAGAAATTAGGGCAAGAATCGAACGAGCTAGAGCAGTATTTAGCAATATGAAAAAGCTCCTCATAAGCAAGGATTTGTCTCTTCCCCTAAAACTACGTATAGTTAAATGCTACATTTTTCCGATCTTGCTGTATGGCGTGGAGGCCTGGACGCTGACGGAGACGCTAACGAGAAAACTAGAAGCATTCGAAATGTGGGTGTACCGACGCATTCTTCGTATATCCTGGACCGAACATTTCACTAACATAGAGGTACTCCAAAGAATCGGAAAGGAGAAAGAAATCGTGAATACAATTAAACAAAGAAAGCTTGAATATCTAGGCCACATATTGAGACACGATAAGTACCGTCTGCTACAATTGATTGTCCAGGGAAAAATAGACAGTAATCGAGGGCCAGGCAGGAGAAGACACTCGTGGCTCCAAAATCTGCGGAAGTGGAAGTAAACATACTGCCTCCACCTTCAAACACTGAAAGAAGATCTGCAGTCCCGATTCCAAGATTTGACTAGCCTGAAAGTGCCAACTTGGTTTATCAATCCTTTCAGTGTGAAAGTTTCAACGGTATGTCCTTCTCTTCAAGAAAACTTGATTGATTTGAAACATAATGTTGACATTGAAAGTTTGTTTCGGGAGAGTGGGTATGAAAGATTTTAACCGCGGATAAAAGAAGTGTATCCAATCTTGTGGAATGCAATCAAATTAATATTATTAGCATTTCCCACAACATATCTGGTGGAGAAAGGTTTTAGTGCTGTGTGTATATTGAAAAACAGACAAAGAAATAGGCGCGACATGATAGAAAAAGGGAATTTGAGGTTTTTATTAACCAACATTGAGGCAGACATAAAGAAGTTTCAATTTAATTGGGAGGTGGGGGGGGGAGCGAAAGGTTGGGAACCACTGTCCTAGAGCGCTTTAGGTGCTTTGCGTATTGTTTCCTAGACTATATGGCTGAGTTTCTTTTCAACTGCACCTGTTGTTTTATTTTAACGCTAGTAGTGGTTTATTTTTTTTACCTTGTCTTTGTCAAGACAAGGTAACATCAAGAGAACGTACTTTGTGGTTTTAAGGGTTTTACACCCCTGGTTTTCCACAAAAAGACGACAAAGCTAAACCTAAATAAGGTATACGAACGAAATGCTGAGTATTATAATTTCCGTAAGAGAAATACACTATTAAACGTTGATGACAAAATTTGGAGACGCAATATGGTTCTCTGTCAAGCTCTCCAAAGCTCTTTATGTCAAAGCTAGCTACCAAATACGTTCAAGGCGTATCTTTTTTGACCGTTTCACCATGGAAATTTAAACTCCATACTACAAATAATTGCTGGTGGAGTTATAACTCTGTTGTTCGGCGAGTTTAGTCAGACTCTTGCCGTTATTCTCTCAATTCTCCGATCAACTGTAGTTGATGAACCTATCTTAACGCATGCTTAATCAACGAATACAAAACTCATCTGAATGATTTATTTAAATATATTAATCTTCTTTCAGGTGGGGATAGAATCGACGCTGGAACAACCTTACTTCGTGATGGGTCAAGGTTGGGCATCTTGCAGTCCCGAACGCACGCAACGACTATTCGGTTTGAAGGTGCATAAGTTACAAGTCGGCGATGTTCTCATTTCCCTGACCCCCAGGGAAAAAATACCGAGCATTTCCAGGACTGGAACCGGGACGACAATCATGACAACGGCAACAACAACCTCGATGACAGCCAGGCAACAGCACCCCGTTTGCACAGTAACGAAAACACAAATACCAGTCACGAAGGTAAGATCAGAATTATATTTTCTCCTTTTTTATATTACTATTAAGGTTTCTCCAGCTCTTTATATGCTGATAACTTCTTTGACTTGTGCTTCAAAAATATTTTTTTATAAAAATTTTTTATTTTTTCAATAATATTTTTTATATCTGCAAATTTAAAAGTAGTGTTTTGGCTGCTACATAATTTTTTACTTCTGCGCAGATGAGCTCAATTGGATTGAGCTCACAATGGTATGGTGGCAGCCTTAACACTACTAGTCTAGGCGGGATCTGTTTTGGATTGGAAATTTTCGAGGGAAGCTATTTTTTTGCTGGAATCCCTTCAGGATATGCCCAATATCGATAATCACGATATGCGCCAGTCGCAAACCCTGTGCTAAATTTTTTATTTAACAAAATCTGAAAACTTGACATTATTTGATTTGAGAATATATTTTGATTCGAAAGTGACGTGTATATTGTATATTGACGTGTTATTATACTGCTGTGTAATGCTCGAAATTGTTTTTTTTGAGCTTGCAATTTATACATTGAAGTAAATTGTTGCTTTTAGTAAACAAATATGTATTTATAAATTGTTAATAAATAATTTAAATTGTTAAAACAAAGGCGAATGAAACAAAAATTTTCTTTTCATAAATAATCTTTATTTTGACTTAATCTTCAATAATTTTTTTTAAGTATTTTTCTTTTTTTGGAAGGACAAGGATCTTCAGGATTTATTTCTTCCTCAAAACCTTCATTTTCCATTTCAATATCTTCATCCTCGATCTGTAAATTTAATGTTTCTTCTCCTTCATCTGTAGCTATATCTTGTGCCTTCAAAAAATCTAAGGAATCCATCGACTCCATATCCATATCTCGTTCAACTTCTTCCAATATTTTATTGTGATCAATATTTTTACATGTTTGACCATTGCAGTGAAGACAATAGTCAGAACATTTGAGACCATGTTTGATACAACTGCATGTTATTGTACAAAGTTTTTTACATTTGCAACTAATATTTCTGAATAATGAGTCATGTAGTAATACTTGCTCAGTTTGTATTGGCTCAAGACCATTTTGAGTTAGTTCCCACCCCCACTCAGTAGCATTCAGGTTATTTCCAAGCCACTGCTGTACTTGGAAATATACACGAAGCGAGTGTTGCTCAGCTGCAGATTGTGTAGGTGGCAGCATGGACAATTGAAAATTTTTATTTTTGCAACCTTTTTTAAAGCACAAGTAGCGAATTTTATTCAATGTTAAACCGCACTTTGAGTGGCCCATATACAATGCCGATATAATTTTGCATCCGCTGCGTTTAATTTCTTCCTTAGTGGCACTTTTTTCATTAAAAATGGTTGCTTCTTGCCATATATCATTATTTGTTGAAATCAATTTAACAATTTTGCTTTTTCCTTGATAAAAAAATGCAGAGGTTGTATCAGAACCAGAAAATGCGTGTAAAAAGCCCACTAAATTTTTTAACGAAGATTTCGTAGATTAACTTATTTTAAGTGCATTATTGAAAGAGTTTGTAGTCATAAATTTCTTCCGATTTTTTTCCTTTGCTAGGTTTCCAGAAAAAAATATTTTTATTTTCAGTTACTTTTTGTAAAAATATTACCAGAACATCAATATCCTCTGCAATTATAAAAACTGGCTTGTTATCTGAGGCTAATATATACTTGATACTCGCCGATTCACATTTGAAGTGAATGTCCCTCATCACCACCTCTCATGCATTCCGAGCGACATATTACGCGAAAACGGTTTTTATTTGTCTTTTTTATGGATATTGCCATAAAGCGCATTACGTAAAACTTTTCATATAAAAAGTATTTGACAAGACGAGGGTATTTGTTTAAAAACGAGCCCTCTATCACTTATGGTTACACGGCAAATGTATGCCAACTTTGACCTTCAATATCTCGGCAACCAGTAAGCCGAATGTATCTTTTTGTTTTTTAAAAGAAGCGTCTTTTAATGTTCTTAAAGTGTATACATTTTGAAATTGATATGTTTAAAGCTCGTAAAGTTATTTAATTTGTTTATAAGCCTAAAAAATGTTTATAACTTTAAAAAAATTTATAGGCTTTCCTAGTAAACCGATTTGAATTTTACAAAAAGCGTTTGAAAGTGTGAGACTTCCTTTATATGTAAAAAAAATTGCAACTATCTGAGGGCCGCGTCTTATTCGTCAAATTCCAAATCGATTATTTCAATGTGAAAGAATAAAAAAAACAAGCACTTTCCCCGACAGCGTGTTTTGACCGAAAAGTGCTTCGTTTTTTTTGATATTTTTTGTTAAAATATTCGATTTGAAATTTCAACTACTTTTCATTAGCTACAACTATGCTTTTACTGTGTCTACAGAATTCATAGAGGTATAGGTACATCCTTTTTTAACTTTTTTATAAGCAATATTTTTGCTAATATGTTTTTAGATAAAATACTTACTTTTTGAGCTATTTGCGGAAAACCGGCTAAAAACGTGGTTTTTCTATTGAAAAATGATCATATTCACTCGCAAATAGCTCGATAAATATTGACTTTGTGCAAAAACTGTATAAAATGAAAGTTGCTGAGAATTGGTCAGTTTATTCAATTCTGGACTTATTTTGAACTCATGTTTTTCACACCCGAGAAGGGGTGAAACTCACACCATAACAAAAGCACACATAGGCACAATATCACTTTTTTCTTTGCCGTTAGCTATGTATATGCAAAATTTCATGTCAATCCAAGCGGTTCTTTAATATTCAGAGCAAAAACCGTCAATAAATGGACTAAAAAGGAAATAAAACTTTTCGAAACATCAATAAATTAAAATATTGGTTTCTCTTACCTTTATTAACGTGATTACCGCAAGCTATTTTTACTTTTGATTAACAAATACTTTGTTTTTGGATACTAAAAGTTCACTACACACTATAAAACAACCCTCTAGTCTACTGCATGAATTATATTTTAGATAGAAAAAAAATGTTTGCAAAATTTAAGATTTTGTTGTTATAAAGAAGTATATTTACCATAGAATTTACAACAATTTTTTACTAATTAAGAAAATAAAAATAAGCCAAAAATATATGGCTTCCTATATAAACAAACCTAAAATGTATAAAAACAGACAGATCCAAATCTGGCTTCTTATGCACTTAAAGTAGTTATTGTTTTTTGGATTTGGGAGTTTTTGCTTCAGTTATGGAACTGCGTGGTGAATTAACATTTTATAATGGTCGACCCCTTTTCATTGGCAAACTATTCTTGCTCACCTTGCATACATTTTCTGCAATATATTGTTTGAAGTCAAATAATGACATAATTTACACTCTATTGATGTCACAGGATCCATGCATTCGCAATGCACAATGTATGCCCAACAGGTGTAAAAATATTTTCTTGTACCATTTTTTTGAACGTAATTGAATCCTATAGAGCCCTAGCATGGAATCCAATAACTCCTCCCATATGATTGTTATAAACATCTATTGATTTAGGACAAGGAATTTCACGATGTTCTTTGGCTTCTCGAAAATAGCGCTCTCTGGAAGTAATAGGAGAACTACCTACGTATGTTGAGATCATGGTAACTAGGTTGTTGTCGTACCAACAAACACAAGAGATTTCTACTCCATCTATAACAGCAATTTTCTCTACCATAGTACCTAGACCATGTTTTTTTAACTCTTTTGGTGTAGGCATTTGGCAGTTTGCTACTCTGTTAATTCTAGCTGTCGCCGATGTTTGAAGATACATTATTCACTTGTTCTAAAAAATCGCAATGCACAGCACGTTGTAACTGAAATGATTGGGTTTACTTTACTTGTCTAGCAGCGTTGTCAGATTTTAAAAAAATATATAGAGGTTTCCAAACAAATGTACGATTCACGTTATGCTATGCCTGCGTATGTGCTAAACTTTATACTTACAAAAAAAAATAGTAAACTACCGAATCCATATATGGATTTCCATGCGGTAGAGGGTTAATACTAAACACTTAAACTAAACTCTAAAAAATAACAAGACCAGTAAATAACTTAACAATAACTATAACATATAACACACAATATATTAACTTAAAAACCAACACGCTACAATTTGAATTTAAACAGACTGACAAGTTTAGATCTGTAAAATGAGAATCCGTCTGGCTTAATGCAATAAATTATAGAGTGGCCCAAAAGTCTGGAAACGGCTAATTATCTCGTAAATTACTAGACATAATTATACAAAATTTGAGATACGCCTATTTTGGGATACGGAGATTCCATATTTGGTATTTGCAATGTTGCCATATTTTCAGTTTCTCTTATATTACTAGTAACTTTGGTTTTTCAAATGCATCACCCTGTATATTTAGTCATTATTGGAATCTCCTATTAAATACGAGTTCAACCATATGTAACACTTATGATTTTATGTAGTCTGGAAGGTCTTAAATACATAAAACAGAAGTCTGGCAACGCCTAAATTGTTTCAATACATTTTTTAATACTAACTATTTTCAAATACATTAAAACGTAACAATTGATAGTTTAGAATATTTTTTAACATAATAGTTACATTAAGTGTTCAAAATGTGCTCCATTTGTGAGTTGACAGCACTCTAATCGATGGTAGAATGCGTCTACCACATTTCTCCATGATTGTCTAGAAATTATTCGAGATTCATCGATAATTCATTGCCTTAGCTATGCAAGACTTGCTGGTTAAGTTTTGTAAACTGAATTTTTTAAGTATCTCTAATAAAAATAATCTTTAGGATTGAGATCGGGTGAACGTGGAGGCCATTCAATTCTACCTTGTCTACCAATTTATCGTCCGGGAAATATCTCATCTAAATAACGCCGAACATTTACACCAACTATCTGACGTTAAATTTCTTTCGATAAAAAATGACCCAATTAAATAAGTACCTACTATAACTGACCATACATTTAATTTTTGTGGTCTTTGAGTATGGTTTTCACGCATTCAATGTGAATTTCACACGAGTTCAGCTATTCAATACGAGTTCAACCATATGTTCACTTGATTTTATGTAGTCTGAAAGATCTTAAATACATAAAACAGTGCAAAATATGTAGATTTTAATAAATTTAAATATTTAAATAGAGAATGCTGTGATTTTGACATTTGTTCACCATTTAAATTATGAACTAAAATTGACAGTAGTTGTGGTTCAAAAAGTTCTGCAATTTAAATTGCTTCTCTAAAATGCCGTTCTCTAAACCATTCTCCTATTCATAAGACGACGGTACAAAAAACTGTGAGGCGATTTGAGGAATCTGGAGAAGTAAAAGATAGATACCGATCAGGTTAACCGAAACGAGTTATCAATGACAACAAAACTTCAAATATAAGCAAAGTTTTGTTGAAGATCCACATACATCCCCAGACAGGGTTGCACAAGTACATGATGTAGGTCATTCTTCAGTCTTACGTTTATTACGTAAAAATAAATTTAAATCATACAAAATTAACTTATTGCAAGAATTAAGTGAAGATGACTTTGGTCGTAGATTAGAGTTTACTGAGGTAATGATGGATAAAATTGAAAATTATTAAAATTTTGTTAACAGAATATGTTTTTCCGATGAAGCAACTTTTACACTGTGTGGAAGTGTAAATCGACACAATTTAAGGTACTGGTGTGACGTAAATTCACACTGAAGACTGAATGCGTGAAAACCATACTCAAAGACCACAAAAATTAAATGTATGGTCAGATATAGTAGTTACTTATTCAATTGGGTCATTTTTTGTCGAAAGAAATTTAACGTCAGATAGTTGGTGTAAATGTTCGGCGATATTTAGATGAGATATTTCCTGGACGATAAATTGGTAGACAAGGTAGAATTGAATGGCCTCCACGTTCACCCGATTTCAATCCTAAAGATTATTTTTATTAGGGATACTTGAAAAATTCTGTTTACAAAACTTAACCAGCAAGTCTTGCATAACTAAGGCAACGAATTATCAATGAATCTCGAAAAATTTCTAGACAATCATGGAAAAATGTGGTAGACGCCTTCTACCATCGATTAGGGTGCTGTCAGCTCACAAATTGAGCACATTTTGAACACTTAATAACGTAACTACTATGTTAAAAAATGTTCTAAACTATCAATTGTTACGTTTTAATGTATTTGAAAATAGTTAGTATTAAGAAATTTATTGAAACAATTTAGGCGTTGCCAGACTTCAGTTTTATGTATTTATAAAATCATAAGTGTTACATATGGTTGAACTCGTATTGGATAGGAGATTCCAATAATGACTGAATATACAGAGTGATGTATTTGAAAAACCAAAGTTACTAATAATATAAGAAAAACAGCAAATCTGGCAACATTGTAAATATCAAATATGGAATCTCCGTATCCCAAAATAGGTGTGCCTCAAATTTTGTTCAATTATGATTAGCATTTTACGAGATAATTAGCCGTTTCCAGACTTTTTGGCCACTCTGTATTTAATAGCCTCTTGACGAATGAATGGGCAAATATCAACACGTGCCTTTGTTCACAGTTGGGAATTTGCAGAACGAATGTACTTTAATAGCAATATGATTTGGATCATAACCTTTGTATTTATATTGTTTGTTTTCTGTAGGTTGCCGTACAAACAGTACAAACACAGCCAATGAACTTGCACCTTCCTTCGAACTATCCCCCACAACCCCTATCGCCAGACAGCCTGGCCGCCAGGAAACGAAGGTGGTCAGCCCCTGATCAAATATGTGATGAAGAAGAACAAAATAGTGCAAGAAGACACCGAGTCGGATGATTTTTGTACAGTGACTATATAGTAATTGTGAATAAGACTTTTTAACTAATTAAATTTTTGTAGGAATATTGCTCTAAGAAAGTTTAATGTTGCTTCTTGAAATTGATATTACTTATTATTGCCTTCTAGGCCGGTACTCCTACTCGGTTGCGATCAAACATTACTAGAGATGGGTTGTGATTTTGGAATCTGTGATTTTAGAACCGTGACATATTTTCACTGAGTCAGTTACCTGGCTACAATTTGTAAAAGCATTACGCAGACTAAAATAACTGCGTCTGTTAACATAAAAACTTATCAATCTGTAGTCTACCTTATAGCTTATATATTGAAAGGATTGTTTCAAAATAAACAGAACAAAAATTGTCTTTATTCAAGTGACTTCGTAAAAATTAGTTATCATCTAGTTTGACAGTAGTATTTCTATTGAAAAGCTACGAAACTACTTCGATTCATGTAACGAAGACTGTACGAAGTCATTTTAGATAGTTTTGAGAAAATTAATTTAAACGTATAAACATTGGTTAGCAGTTTCTAAAATAATTGTTGAAAACAAAACTTTTGTAGGTATGTTAATTTAAATGCAGTTCCCAAAATTTATCACCAAAAAATTATATTTTTTCTTAATATATTCTGTTTTTTTTTTTTTACATTTACATTTTACATTTTTCGTCGGAACAATTTAGGGAAAAATGACATACGATCATTTTGAAAGAAACATTTTGATACCAACTTTATAATTATAAATATCTTAAATTTCACAAAATATGTTAAATTTATTTCTACTTAAAGTCATCTCTTCAGGTTTGCTGCTATTAGAACTTTTAGAGTCTTGATGTATATCATTCTTCGTCTGTGTTCCCTCCTTTGACCGTAAAGAAAAAAAGAAGTTATGGTACAAACGCGGTATTGAAGGTGGATCACCTCTGCAAAGCTCTAATAAATAAACCTTTCAATTTTTTACTATTAACAGGTAGAGAAGAAGTATACAGTTTCGGCAACTCAGTGGAATGAGTTAGGTTGACTACGCTTACTTTTTTTCAGATATAGAATTCTTGGAGTTTCTGCAAAATCGTATTTAAATTGAACGTATTAGGTTCAAATTTCGTCCAAGTTTCGTCCATTCTCCAGTTCTGATTTTTTTACCATGTCAGAAAATTTTACAAAGTCTGCTTGGGACATTTCTTTTACTGTGTAGGGTTAGCCAGTTACTTTCGCCATTTTTATTAATGTGATCCATTAACTGAGGGTACAGACAGCATCCTGTCACTTTTTAGCTGTTTCTATTACTGCATGCATAGTATCTCCTTCATTCTGAATATGCCCCTTCTCCAAAAAGGAGAAGCAATACCATATGCAAACATGGAGAAAATAAAACGGTTTTTATTTTGCTCTCCCCCCCCAATTGTCGGTGTATAAGATGACACTTTCAACCCCTTTAGTTATTTGTGTCCTCAGAAAGTCTAACAAGCAACTAATAACATCATTTGATCCCCGTTCCGCCACCTCTTCATACCAAACGCTACAGAATCCTTTATTGGTACCGATGTCCTAGACTGTAAAATTATAGGTTGCAATTTTAATTCTATAATAAAATGTACTTACTTCTGACTGAGGAGTAAATAATACCTTTTGCAGGTCAAAACACTCAACACATAAAGTTTTCTCCTCAATAGCTAGTTCTTTATGCACATCTTTTCGGACTGCAACTTCGTTAGCTAAGTGTTGATCATATTTTTCTTGCAATTTCAATTTTATGTCATTATCAGCATCTGTATAACCCGGACATAGTTGACACTAATCCTTTTTTGGTTTAAAGAATGCTATATTGCATTCTAAGTTGAAAATTTCACTATATTGCCTTTCACTTGCAATCTGTACTGAATTGGTGCCCATATGCTCTGTACATTCTACACATTTTACATATATTTAAAACCATCTTCCAAATACATTTTCTTTGAATGTTTTTTATTATAATGGGAAGGCACTAATGGAAACAATTTAATATGAGTTCTCACATTTTCCTCAATATCTTCTGCAATTTTATTGGGTCTTACAGTACTATTAAGCACAATAAAAATAAGAAAGGTACAATATCTGGGACACGTAACGAGGGGACAGCGATATGAACTGCTAAGGCTGATAATACAGGGAAAGATAAGAGGAGGAAGGAGTATAGGACGAAGGAGAGTGTCATGGTTGAAGAATTTAAGAGACTGGTTTAAATGCAGCTCTATAGAACTCTTCAGAGCAGCAGTAGATAGAGTAAAGATAGTGATGATGATATCCAACCTCCAATTTGGAGACGGCACTTAAAGAAGAAGACGCTCTCCAATTTTTTTAAGGCAGTTTTCCCCAGGTTTATACTAACCTGTGGAACGATATTCCTGAAGATTTTTTATTAACATTACTTCTGCTACTGCAACTACGTTGAGAACAAGAAACCATTATTATGCACTATCACAATATATTACAGTTTCTATAAAATTATTATAAAACTGAAAATATTCGAAAAAACAACAAATATAACCAAACATATACGATCTGTCACAAGTTTCAAAACAATAATACCAATATGGCCGAAGTTAGGTCGTTTTTAGTCACGTGATGCCCTCTCCATAGATTCTAACTCGATGTATAAAACTGAATTGTGTATTTTAAGTTGCCTATACAGCCGCTAGAGTTACCACAATATTCTATGTTACAGCTACGTATAGAATAATCATCGAGCAAAAAGACAAAAGAGTGAATCTAATCCTTAATAAAAGGAGACCAAAAAAATGGCCTCTGATGGCGGACATATCCGGAAATGCGAATGCGCCAAATTAAAATTTTTCGACACTTATTAACAGTAGATATAATATAATATTTTTTAGAATGTGTCTTAGACGAGAAAGTTTTAATTAATTATTAACGGTAATAGTCTAAAATGCGACACAATTGTAAAAAAAACTTCTATATAAATAAGATTTCATGTGACATTTGGGACAAACAATAACATAACCCTAACTAAATTTGATGTCGAACAAGGAGAGAGACTCTCTTTCCTTGTTTAATGTGGCCTCTAAAGATCGCACTTCCTGTCTAACAATATTTTTGCCCCTACTAGCTTTACATTCCCTCTTTTGTCTTTTTTCTCGATGAGAATAATTCAGAAGAAGGTAGTAACTCCAATTATACAAAAATCGAGTTACTACAGTTTTTGTTGCATGAATCGACTTAATTTAATCAATTTATTATTCTGCGTAATTCTTTTACACATTTAATATATATCTACTTGGAATGAACTCCACAAAATATAGTCAAATAGATAATTAATTAGATAAGTAAAGGAAAATTACAATTTACAAACTGGGAATATTTTAATTGTAGTGACAAATTCTCATGGTTTACACCTAAAATCACAGATTACAAGACCTAAATATAACAGTTTTTATTTTTAAATTGATGTAATGATTAGGGAAATGAATTTGTGGTATTGTTCATGAAAAACTTTATTCATAGGAGTATTGGTCTACTATTTTTGATGGAGCAACAAGTACAGAAGATGAGATTGTTTAAGTCGTACTACTGTATATTGAATGATAGTTTCTATACAATTTTTTGTATCTAAAATAATTGAAGATATTTTTGTAAATCCGTAAATGGTTTTTAAATTATGAGAGGTATTTTTTAAAAATAACAACAGCTGGAATGTTGTATAGCCATTGGGTTTATTATTAGTTGGGTTTGGGTTTAGAACTAAAGTTCTGTAAACGAAATTACCGTTCGTTTCAAAACTCTTCCGTGGATTTACAAACAGTTGAATGAATGAATATCTATAGATATTCTTGAAGTATGTATAGACATGCAACAAATAGAAAAGTTGTCAGTTTTCTGTTGTAGCATGAACCCATTAACGCCCAGATTTCTTCTCTTGTATAAATTTTGCTGCAATTTTTGTTAAAAGTCTCTTTGACCTAAAGTTAGAAGGAAACATGATTTTTTGTCAAATTTTAATTAGAAAAAAAATACAGACTTACACCATATGGTATCACTGGGATCTTATGATATATCCAATTTACAAAAAAAATTATTTAGAATGATACGAAACAAAACACCTTACACATAGTCCGACATCACATTTTATGCCTTATGTCCTCCCAAATGTAGTACAACCAATTCCAGCGCAACGTCTTCTATTACAAAATGATCGATTTTGTCATACCTTACTTCTGCGAAAGGTTCCGTGTGAACCTTCTTCATCACTAGCTTCAATATGTTTGTTATTGGCTAATTTTACCTCAGTACCAGCTTCCAATTGACGACAGTTCAATTATATATCATGAGGTTATCTATTTCATCCAATGAATCTTCATCAGTGTCAACAGATGGATTAGGTGGCAAAATAAATATTCCTTCCAGTTCATTAGCGACATTTTCATTATCATATAAATCCACAATCCACGGCTGTAAAAAAAATTATCATAAATTATAAATGATATAATAAACACCCAGTGATACCATATGGTATCACCGACATATTTGGTAAGATATTAAAAAATGTCTCAATAAATTTAAATTTGGCAGAAACATTTATTTTATTAACCATAGATTCCATCAAGAAGTCCATCTTTTTGACCCAACTTCGACAGACCAAATATTTGAAAAATCACACTTACTCTACACATGTTACAAACGCACTGATGAGCGGTTAGTATGTTGTACTGGTCTGTTGTTTATAGTTAGGAGAGGGGACGAGACCATAAGATCGTTTCTAATAGATTTCAAGAGCAAGAGAAGTAGACGTGTTTTGTGATAACGTATGGTATCACTGGGCACTAATAAGTTAATACATCAACAGTAGAAGGTAAGCCACTTCAGCGCACTTTGACCTTTAACCCCATGTTACCTATTATGTCACTTGTCGCGTATTACGCCACCTTTTATGTCACGTTCTATAACATTTGAGACAAAACGTGACGTAGTACGTGATATGCGACATAAAACAAATAATGGGGCCAAAAGTCAAAGTGTGCTGAAGTGGCTTATCCTCCACTATCAACTTCAGTCTTGATGTTATGTAACGAAGTTTGCTGTTCTTTGTCTACACGTCAAATATCCGTGTCAGTTTTATTTGTTTTCAGTAATAACCTCTCATAAATTTAAAATCTATTTATCAATCTCTTATTGTAAATTTGTATATAAACATCTGTGTGCTTGTGTTGTTCCATCTCAGTGAATTTCAAATTACGCTCTAACTATTGGTGCAGATTTTCTATGATAGAAAACCGTTGAAAAGATAGTATAGATTTATTTTTCATG